GTGTGATGTGGTAGGGAAGGTGGTAGGAAGGTCAGGGGAAGGCTACACACCCTCGCTTGCTCGCTCGTCGCTCCTTGTTGGCTCGCTCCTCGCTCGCTTGCTAGCTCCCTCCTCGCTTGCTCGCTCTATCTCGCTCGCCTTCTCTCTGACTATCTCCCTCGGTCACTCTCTCTCCTTCTCGCTCGCTCGCTCGCTTGCTTACTCTCCCTCCTCGCTCGCTCGACCGTTCGTTCACTCCCTCCTCGCTCCCTCCTCGTTCCCTCCTTGCTCAAGACAGCGAGCTCGCTCTCCCTCCTCGCTCTCCAGCTCGCTCTCTCCCTCCTCGCTCGTTTCCTCGCTCGGTCCCTCCTCGTGCTTGCTCGCTTCCTCCGCGCTCGCTATCGCTCGCTCGCTCTCTCCTTGCTCGTTCGCTCGCTCCTCGCTCGCTTCCTCCTAGCTCGCTCGCTCCCTCGTCGCACGCTTCCTCGTTCTCACTCGCACGCTATGGTCTTACTTGCTCCCTCGTCGCTCGCTTCCTCGCTCCCTCGTCGCTCGCTCCTTGCTTGTTTGCTCTTTTTCCCGCTCGCTCTCACTCGCGCGCTTACTCTCGCTCTCGCTCGCTCGCTCTCACTTGCGCGCTTACTCTCGCTCTCGATCGCTCTCTTCCTCGCTCGCTCGCTCCTTGCTCGCTTGCTGTCTTTGCCCCTTGCTCGGCCGGCCGTTGTCTTTCCCACTTGTTGGACTCCCGCTTGCTGTCTTTCCTGGTTGCTGTCTTTCCCGCTTGCTGGACTCCCAACCCTTCCTCGCTCGCTCGCTCCTTGCTCGCTTGCTCGGTCGGTCGTTGAATCGCTTACGAAAAAAAACACTTCGGCTCTTTTTCCCGCTCGCTCGGCCTCGAGGCCGTAGGGTCTCTCGGTCGTCGGTCCACTTAGTCGGCCCGGCCATTGGTCGGTCTGTCCGCCCGTTGGGTCCACCCGTTGGTCGGTCGGTCGGGCCTCACCACTCGCTGGGTCCACCCGTCGCTCACCACTCCATCCGCCCTGCCAGGGTGAAACCAGATCACTCGGTCGGTCGGGCCCCCCCTCTGATAGCAGAAAGAGAAGTGGTTGTCTAATGTACGAACTGTAGGTAGTAACAACATCAGGCTTGTCTAAGCCTAGGAACCAGATCACTCGGTTTCGTGGGACCAGGACACTCAGTCCCTGATAGGGCCGTTGTGGGCCGGTACGAGTGTGTAAGTTGGTAGGGACTTAGTGGGAACAGGATACTCGGCCCCTACTAGGGCCGCTGTGGGCCATTAGGAGAGTGTCAGTAGGACCAGGACATTAGTCCTCTGGGCCGAGTTAGTCCCAGATTAGTTCTAAGAAGGTCTCTCACTGAGTTATTCTACCATTGGATATGAGAAGTCTCACTGTAGTATTGTAATCTGAGGTCGTGGGGCATCCGTTGCAGTAGTAACAGTTATCAAGTTGCTTGAAGTTCAGGCTCAGACTCAGTTACTGGGTTGGTCGCTTTAAAAGGCATAGTTAGTCCATTTGTTATACTCTGCATTTGCAAAAGTATCCGCAGGTCTCCTATCTGTAAGCTAAGCTGGCTGATGCTGTCAGATACCCCCGGGTTGAAGTGTGAGGTCCCCGGCCTCTGTTTCGTATTGTTAATGGATTGTGGATTGATTTGAAAAAAAAAAAAAAAAAAAAAAAGGGAAGGAAGAGGGGAAGGAAGAGGGGAAGACGAGGGGCGGGGGATTTGGGGAAGAAGAGCCCCAGGGGGAACGAGCCGGGGACGAAGATGGGATGAAACGCCGGACGGAAGGGAGGGAAAAGGCGCGGGGAATGTGGGAAGGAGGAGAAAATGGCAGGAAGAACAAGATGGCAAGTAGGAGGAGGAGGAGAAGATGGCAGGAGGAGGAACTTCAAGATGGTAAGGAGCTGGAGTAGCAGGGGAAGGAGAGGGGAAGAGGAGGATGAAGAAGATGACATGGCAAGGTTGTGTGTAAATGTGTGAGGAGGAGGAAGGAAGAACATGGCAAGGAGCAAGAGGAGGTATGGAGGAACCGGAGGAACGCGGGGGGAACGTGGGGGGAACGTGGGGGGGAAGGAACAGGGGAAGGCGAGGGGTGGGGGATTCGGGGAAGAAGAACCTCAGGGGAAGAAGGCGGGGTCGAAGATGGGATGAAACGCGGGACGGAAAGGAGGGAGAAGGCGTGGACACGGATGGGATGGAACGCGGGACGGAAGGGAGGGAGAAGGCGCGGGGAATGTGCGAAGGAGGAGAAGATGGCTGGAAGAAGAAGATGGCACGTAGGAGAAGGAAAGGGGAGGGAGGAGTAAGATGGTAAGGAGTTGGACTAATAGCAGAAGGAGAGGGGAAGAGGAGGAGTAAGAAGATAACATGGCAAGGTTGTGTGTGTATGTGTGAGGAGGAGGAAGGAAGAACATGGCAAGGAGGAAGACGAGGCAAGGAGGAGCCGGAGGATACAGGCAAAACATTCCTCCAAGAAAACGGTTAAATAAAACATATCAGGCAGGTTACAAACACAATCCTCAATCCCTACATCCACGCAAGGAAGAGGACCTTTTTGTTGTGGTTCTTGCCTGGACTCAAGATTCTAGGGCTCTGTCTGTAACCTTGGCTGAGGAGGAGGACAATGCAAAGAAGATGGATGATATAGGCCTACATTAGCCTTTGCAAATGACATAAACGAAACAAGTCAGGCAGGTTACAAATATAGTCCCACATCCCTAGATCCAGGTAAGCAACAAGAAGAAATGAGAAAGACAAGTCCTTCAAGTGTTTTTGTCCTTAGACAAAAATTCCACCTCGAACACTATATGTTCTTCTCCCTCGACTACCACATGTTCTTCTCAGACCTTTAAAATACTGTATTTTTTATTTCGATGTCACTGTTATTTGAATCGGAACTGTAGGGCTATATCTTTAACCTTGGTTGTGGAGCAAGAACATGGAAAAAAAAGTAAGGATACAGACTTACATTTTTTTTTTTAAATGACAGAATTACAAGAAATCTGGCAACTTATTAATAAAGCCATAAATCCGAAACACCTACCAAGGTAGAGGAGGAAATGAGAAAGACAGTCCTTCAGGCGTTTGTGTCCTTGAAAATAATTTTGTCTGTAACAAAAACAGTCATACTACGGTCCTCAAATGATTGTATTTCCTATTTATTTGTAATCCAAGTTTACAGCACTATACTTTTAAAAATAGCAATTTAAGATTTCGAAAAACATGCAAATCATAAGAATTTTTCTTACAGCGACATTATCAAAGATATATATATATATATATATATATATATATTTTATCTCTCTCTCTCTCTCTCTCTCTCTCTCTCTCTCTCTCTCTCTCTATGTTTGTAAATTTGTGTATTCGATACTCCTGACGATCTACACTGGAACCACGGTCATTAAGCAACTACGACATTGCTCGACGCTGCTTTCTCTCTCTCTCTGTTTGTATCTGTATGTTTGCTCTCTGAACTACGGCGATGCTCAACGATGCTCGTCCTCTTTGAAATTCTTTTTTGCCGCTCCCGACCTTGCGGAGTCTTTCTCACAATTTATAAATCGTGTAGTGAGGTCGTCCAAATGTTCGTGGTTTGGTCTCCAAGAAGTTAAATTCCGTATTCAACCCAGGGGGGAACCAGTTACAGCGTAAGCGGGCGCTTGGCGTTCAATATTGCTTATTTTACCGGGTCGTGGCTCTCCGAAATTTGGTCACTAGCTTTCTAAAATTTCAATTTTTGAGATGCCTGTTGGTGGGAAATCTGAATTTTAACGATGTTCTTGACGACGATCCCAGTGGCTGGACGGTCGAAATTATTTGTTTTGGCGGGAGTCCGGGCTCTCCGAATTTTTGTCGCCAACGCTCCGAAAATTACACTTTTGCAAAAAACTTGGCGGAAAATTGACAACTTTTAAAAATATTCTTTACGGGGATCCCAGTAGCTGGGTGCGGGTCGTGACTTTCTGAAATTTTGGTCGCTAGCTATCTAAAATTTCAATTTTCGAGACGACCGTTGGCGGGAAATCTAAATTTTAACAATGTTATTGACAACGATCCCAGTGGCTGGGTGGTCGAAATTATTTGTTTTGGCGGGAGTCCGGGCTCTCCGAATTTTTGTCGCTAACGGTCCGAAAATTACACTTTTGCAAAAACCTCGGCGGGAAATTGACAACTTTTAAAGATATTCTTTACGGGGATCCCAGTCGCTATCGGCTCAAAAATTGTACTTCTCCAAAATCCGTTGGCGGGAAATCCAAAATTACGAATACTGTTCTTGATGGGGGTCGCAGTAGCGGGTGTTCTCATTTTATTTCGATTTGGTGTCCAAGAAGTGTACGCATGTTAGCAACGCTCTTCCGACCGTCCTCTGACACACTTTCTCGCGCTAACATCGAGTTTTCTCTTTTGTAGGTGACGTCATCGTCATTTCTAGATGCCAGATAGGTTGTCGTATCATATCTTTTATGTCCAAGAAGTCTACGCCCCTTAGCGACGCTCTTCCGAGCGTCCTCTGACACGCTTTCTCGCGCTAACACCGAGTCTTTTTTTTTGTAGGTAACGCCATCGTCATTTCTAGATGCCTGATAGGTTGTCGTATCATATCTTCCTGCCATGGATTCTTTAACCGAAGGATGTACTCAGAGTACTCACAAAATAAACCCCGTGAGATGGTTTCCAGACCTTTCTCAATGTAAGAAGAGTGTTGATGCCAAGAGTGTCAAGACGAAGAATGGCAGATGGTTTCCGGACCTGCGTCAATGTTGTACACGCGAAGGCGAGAAGCTAAACCCTCTACTGAAGCTCAGTGCAACTGGTGAGAAGACCACCAATGTCTGTTTGTTTGTGAAGCGTCCGCGATCGAGCACGACAACAAGAAGGGTTATTGCGCTATGGCGAGCGGGAAACACAATGAAAGGTCTCTGCGCAACAGGCAAAACTGGGAGTACAATCCAGATAGAGCGCCCAGGGAAGCGTCGGTGCCCGAACTCTAAAGGCGAACAATGAAGAGAGATTGACGATGTACACGACATGAGCGAAAACTTTGTTGTGAGAGAATTGCTCGACAGCAGTGTTGCGATAGAATTATGTGACAACAACATTGAGGAGGAATCTAGCCACGACGATGATGAGGAGGACGAATCGAGCGACGACGATGAAGAGGAGGAGGAATTGAGCGAGGATGAGGATGAGGAAGACACCGACTCTGAGGATGATGAAAAAAATGACGAGTCAGAAATTAATGTCGATATGTTCAAAAAAAGTCGATCTGGAAAACTTTTAGGAGAAGCGAAGCAGATAGTAGCACAGAAGGTGAGAAGAGGATTGTACAACAAATCAAGCAAGAGTGAGAAACCTTCTTACATTTTGGGAAAGCGCGACAGGAACGTATGCGTGTACAATAAGAAAACTAACTACCACGTGAATATGACGAATGTCGAAGTGATTCTCAAGGAAGATTGCCGCAAGTCCAAATGTTACAAGAAGTTCACGGCAGAAGATGTTTTCTACAAGCGAAAAGAATTTTAGGCGATGAAACAACCTGAGCAAGTCAACTTTCTTCTCGGAGAGATGAGGGTTGCGTCGTATTTTTCGGATGATGGAGATTTAGAGGTGTTAAGAGTGACATTCAACGGCATAAAGGTTTGCACAAAAGCGTGGGGAAAGTTGTACGGATGCTCGACTACATGTGTTGCAAAGCTGCGCAAAGACTTAAGAGACGGACTAGTGTTGTACGAGCATGCAAACAAGGGATCAGTCGGATTATCTGCTTCATCACAACAAATTCTGGCCTGGTTGCATGAATATTTTCGATTTAACACTGAGAGTATGCCGAATAGCGACCAATTTCATCTTTCAAATACTCTTCGCTGTAGAGACGTGTATGAGTTCTTCAAGCGAGACTGCAAAGAACTTTAAACCAAGAAGACTCTTTCTTCCCGTTCCAGATTTATAATTATTTGAAGGGTTCACTGCCCCCAAAGTCCTCATTCCTGCATTGAAGAGGTTCTCGGTTTGTTCCACATGTCCGAAATTCAACACAGGCCGTTCACAGGCAACAAGTGCATTCGAACGAGGTAATGACAGAACCTCAATGCTTATTTTCTCTCCCCCTGTCTTCCTAACTCTTCTTCTCTCTCCTTAAGTCTTCTTCTTCTCTCTCTTTCTCTCCCTCTCTCTCTCTCACTTAGTCCATCTGTCTCTCTGCCCTTTTTAATATTTGTATTTACATAAGAATCATTTGTATTTCCCCTTAAATACTTAGTTAACGAAGATCCGGTAAACGATGTATCTCATGAAAGCACCTAAGCGTGGCACTGCACGACTGGCTGTTATGACTTATATCCCTAAAAGTTGTTTTTTGATGAAAAGTAGATGTTGTGACTTGCGCATTTTAGAACGGATTCTCGTGAAACTCGTCATCTTCTCTTCCTGAGTCTTTTTTCTTTCTCTCTCTCTCTCTCTCTCTCTCTCTCTCTCTCTCTCTCTCTCTCTCTCTCTCTCTCTCTCTCTCACTCTCTCTCTCGTTACCGTTCTTTCTAACATTTGTATTTACGGACGAATCATTTATGTTTCGTCGTACATAGTTAGTCAAAGAAGATTTGACAAACGACGTATCTCATGAAAGCACCTCAGTGTTCATTCTTCATTGTTTTTCACATCGCGATTGGCTGTTTTGACTTATAATCCTATGCGTGTTCTTGTTGTAAAAAAGTAGATGCTACAATTAGCTCCTTCCAGAAAGGATTCTCTTGAAATTAGAAAGTTTGTAAAAGGAAGAATTTTGTAATTGCCTGGTCTAAGACGACCGACTCTTCTTGGTTACGTCCCTGTCCCTGCAGCGAACTTTCTCCAAAAGACATACTTTATTAGTGATGTCTTCGTTGTCCTGCCCGTACTCTTTCGTTTAATCAACACAGAGATTTTGGGGAACAATGAATTTAGTAGTGTATGGCAATTGTGGACTGACGTTTCTGAGTTATAGCCCTATAACACTTTGTGTAATAATCGTCTTCGATTTTCATATCCTTATTCGGGCTTAGCCTCTCTCAAAGTTTGTGAACGTGTTCTGATCTCTAAAAGACTAAAAATTTATTAGTGATGTCTTCGTTATCCTGCCCGTACGTTTTTTTAAAATCAAAACAGAGATTCTGGGGAACAATTAATTTACTAGTGTACGGAACTTGTGGAATGATTTTTCTGAGTTATAGCCCTATAACACTCTGTGTAATAATCGTCTTCGATTTGCGGGTCCTTATTCGCGCTTAGTCTCTCTCAAAGTTTTTGAACGTGTTTTGACTTAGTATTCGCTTGTTTTTTTTTTGCGCAGAAATGTTCGGCAAGGCACTAAAAAAAACACTGGTTAATGCAGGGAGAAGGGAGACAAAAACTTAGTAAGCATCGCCACAAGGCTTATAGCCGACCGGCAGAGTACGTCGCAATGATCATCAATGGTATGGATCAGAGCAAGACCATATTGCCACACTTCAAAAGGCCTCCAAAGGACTCGAAATTGAAAGAAGGGAACTTTGTGAAAGTTCACGTGGTTCGGACGAAGGTGTTAGGATTTTCATCAAACGCCTTTGCAACTGTTTTCTTTGACAACTTCAAATCAGATTCTAATTGCATGCTGACTGTTCTTCACCGTCGGATTTTTCAACTTCCTAGACCATTTTCGAGAGTCATGTATCTTACACTTGATAACACTTCGAAAGAGAACAAGAAGAAATTTGTGTTGGCATATCTCGTGTTCTTAGTGAAGATGAGAGTGTTTATTAAAGTGAAGTTAAACTTTCTTCTTGTAGGTCACACACACGAGGACATCGATCAGATGTTCAAATGTTTCTCGAGAAAGATGGTTGTACATGATGCGTTCGATCTTCCTGAGTTGCAACACATCATTAGGGAGTCATACAAGGGAGAACAAGATCATGGCGTTTATGTTGAGGAGATGACATAAATAATGGACTGAAAGTTGTACATTCAGGATCATCTTCATAATGTCAATGACATTAGCTTCAATCAACATTTCCGAATCAAGCGCAACGACGACGGGGAGGTGCGCATTTGGAGCAAGCAATATCACAATTCGCAGTGGCAGCCGAACGATAGAGAAGGTCTGAACATCTTCAAGTCAGAGCCAACAGGACAAGTTTAAGCTTCGCCAAAGCATGCAATCCGATCTTTGGAAGCCAGATTTCGGCTTACTTGTCGGGGTGAAGACGAGAGGCGTGACAAGGTCGGCAGCAGTGAAGATCATGTCCGTAATCGAAAAGCGGGAGGATCTTCAAATTTCAAGGTTGACGATGATGTGCTTTCCATCGCAGCCTTGAAAGCCAACGTACATGGCTTGTCGTATTATGCTCAACCCCACAACATTGAATGGTGGAATAAGTTCATAGCAATGCAGGATACTCTCGACCTTGAGGACAGAAATCTCAAAGAGTCTTCCGTGTGGCCCTTTGTAATAGCTGATGTCAGCGGAGCAAATGAAGAAGTTTCACCAACCGCTGATGGCTGTGACCAACGTTGGGATGATATTTTCCCTCCTGAGAGACCCGTCTACATCGGCGCACGCAAGAGCAGACAGTTTCGAGAGGACAAAGACGGAAAGTACGACGATATTGAGGTCAACACTTTCATTACACTACGAGCTTGTTCGGGGCAGGAAGAGAGCGACAAACCTTACCACATTGGCAAGGTTGTCGAGCTGCTAGCAGGTAAACAATTCAAAGTCGCTTGGTTTGCACAGCGTGAGAAAGGAGAGGGTTACTATCCTCAGTTCAAGACAAATCCTCAAGGAAAGCCTACGAGAGAGCCTTCCGAGGACATCTACGACAGGAGCTGCAGCGTTCTTTGTTACAACTTCCAACTGAAGACAGACATGACCTTTTTTTCGCAGACCAGACAAAAGATATCGAAGATGTTAAATTTCATGGTAACGGATGATGTCGACTAGGAAGACCTTCTAGGAACCGATTGCTTCGGAGTTTGCCAAAGAGTCATCGACATTGAGGTCATTTTTGTTTCCGCAACAGAACTAGTTTCCTTTTGTCATTGTTCACTAGATCATCTTAGTTTAGTCGTTAGTGTTTCTTAAATCCTTGTAAATTTGTACATCAGTAAGTCGTAGTTCGCATGACCCTGTCCAGTTAGGCATGTGCGGCCAACCTTTTTTGTTTTGGCGATTTTTTTCATTGATTTTTTGCGTACTTCAAGTTCTCAATTTTGAAAATTTGAAAATTGACTAAAGATTCACGGTTTGAGTTTCACCTACTTAATGAGGTCAAATTTGCTGAATTTGAGTTGCTCGGAGGGTTTGAAAACTTCGTCGTCCTGGTTAAGGGGTTGTAGGACTGAAACCAAAAAGGAAGCTCTTCGCATCAAACGTGACTCGAAGCTCATTTTATGATCGTTTATTGTGACCTAAGGTCAGCCGTCGATTGACAAATCATATGTCTTTACGTTCTTGAACCAACTTTTATCTTTCTACGTTAAAGGGCTTTAAAATGATCAGTTTATGAGAACATACATTGCACCGTTGTGTTAGCCGTTTTTACGGCTCTTAACACTTGACAGATTACCCACTAACATTTTCGGGACTTTTTGTTTTCTTGCGTTAAGGGAAAAACAGTGATCATTTTCCGAACGCTTATTGTGCACTAAGATTTGTTGTCGATTGACAAAGCAATTCTTTTACGTTTTCGAACAAACTTCTGGTTTTTAACTTATAGGGCTATAAGATGCTCAGTTTTCGATATCCGATTTTTCACTAATGTTTCATCCGTTAATAGGGCCATAAACACTTGACAATTACCGACTCAAATTTAGATGTTAGTCGCTCATTTTTCAGCACTCATTATAGGCCTATAATTCGAAAAGTATTGCTTTCCAATTTCAGGAGAATTCAAAGGGTCCGTTCAAATTCAGGTTAAATTCGATGTTTTTTTTTAAATCCGAAAATTTGCGTTATAGGCCTTTAAGGTCATGTTTGAATTTCTTTGAATTTTTGTGCCGCTCGAATTTGCTCAATCGTTTGCACTCGACTTTTGGAGATTTGAAATCAGTTCTCGTTGCCTCTTTTTTGCTTTGCTCTGGATCCCGTGAATTTACTACCTTCGTTTTCATGCTTCTATTTAAGTGCAAAAAAACGAGGACTACCGACCCATCTGTTCGGCTTACTATGTTTTTGCTCAGTTTTTTAGTCTTTAGATTTGGTTTCGGAAAAAACTCTCGTCTTTGCAAAAAAAAACTGCATTCACTGAATAGAACTGACTGACCGTTTCGACATCCACCCAAATCTCTATATATTGGAGACCTTTTCACCAGCCATGCAACAGAAAAATTCCCACGAGAAATGAAAGTTGAAAAAACATTCCTTAAAAAAAAAGTCCTTCATATTAATAAATTATCATTCCAATGTTCGTCCAATTCTAAAATTTTCAGTTTTATTTGTCAAGTTCCCGTCTACATATGAGTTTTACTTTCCAACTACATCTATTTGTTCAAGATGGAATGGAAGTCGAGACGAGTTTATAAAATGTTTTAATTAAATTTTTATTCTACTACAACAAATATCTACTTATTTAGATTGGATTAACATATTTATGACTGAAAATCCTTACTTAGAATGACAGTCAAATTAAAATATTTCATGAACTCATCCAGACTTTCATTCCATCTCTAGCATGAGGTCAAAATAAGAAGGGATACCCTATTCTTGGAATAGAAGTCTGCAAGTAAGATGAAAATTTCTAAAATTGGAATGACATTTTTTAAAATTGAATGAAAATTTAAAA